GCGCGCGCTGTTGGGAAGAAATTTCCAGCTATATAATAACAGCGAATGTGAAATAAAATGAAGAATTAACCATTGCATTTTTGCTCACAATCATATGGAAATATCCTCCAACTAGGTTTTTCTCTACTTACACTGCAATGAAAACTTCTCGAACCACACAACAGTCTTGTAGTTATCAGGAACATCCAGGGTGACTGTGCAATTCTGGTTGTCAGGATAAAAGTTTGGAGAGTTTGGCGAGTGTAAAGCCCCTGTCACGTTTACCGAAGATCCCTGTTTAACCTCAAGGTTTCTCGTGGGGCATATGCTGGAACCAGGCGGTGCTAAGATATGGAAGAGAAGATGCGATTATTAACACCTTCTGAGGAACGAGCGCAAGACATTTCATACTGATAACTTGTCATCGCCCAGATCAATCAGGGTAGTGCTTCGGACTTGTCGTGCTGCGAGGGAATAAATTTGCCTCAACCAATCAGAAGTACTTCCAAGATATCGCCATAAGTATGGAATATCTGCAGTCGTGCCTCAGACGTCATTTTGAGAGGCTGGGTTGAAATGCCTCCTCTGACATTTGTAGTTAGATTTGTTTTTATTTAGCAGGTTTAAATATCATTTCATGTGATTAAATCAATGCATTCAATTGGGCAGTAAGCTTAATTTTTATTTATGAGGTTTTGAACACTGATACCAGTGGTGGCTGAGACTAAGTAGTGTTACTCTGCGTAGCAAGCGTCTCCAGTTGAGTTACAGCGCCTTTTTTTTTTTTGCTCTCGTCCCAACTTTCTCGACGAACTCGCGCTGAAACTCTTGCTGCGTAGGCTAAAGTAGTGTGGACATCCACATATAGCACTAAATAAAAAACATACTTCAATTTCGCTTAGTAACTTTTGCTTTAAGCCTTTTTACCTTTTAAATGAGGCTTAAATAACTTAACGGAATATTTACACGATAAATCTATGTTTTACTCACGATCTGGGATCTCCACTCTGATGGTACTGAAGGAAATTTTGAATCCACTCATATGAAAAGAAGCGTCCGATAAAAATCGTATGGAAATCTTGTTTCCTGATGATGTATATTCAGGAGGAGGTACCCTCCCGCAGTATTTCAACGACCTTGGGCCATCAATAATCGTTAGGGAATCAAATTTACACACGTTTGGATCTGAAAAATTAAAACAAGAGAGAGATTTAGGTTGTTTACCATTTACCACAAATTCCCGGAAATTCCTGTCGGGATGTAAATGGTAAACGTTTTTTTGGTTCGTCCCACTGGAAAATTCCGGAGACAAACGGAAATTCTGAAAAGGTGGTCCCGTTTTCCCGATTGGGACGTTCCGAATGGAAATTCGTTTACCATTTACAAGTTTCTTGAGTTTCGTACTAGTTTCATGTTGTAACTGGAATCCAGTCTAGCGCGGCGCGACAATCCGGAAAATTTAGGCAAATGGTAAACGACACGTACCGTTCTTACCGACCGAAAATTCAAAACCAAAATTTCCGGAATTTTTTTTATAAATGGTAAACAACCTTTGAGTCAAGTTTACGGAAACGGCAAACGTCAACTTGTAGTACGTGACCAAATTTCCCCCTTACGTGTCGTTTACTGTTCATTACGTTTCCAAAAATATCAACAGTTCCTTAGGTTTGTGCATTGGAATCGTTTTGGACTGTTTTATCTGTTTATTTCTATGGAAATTCTCAATTTGAATCTGACGTTTGCCGTTTGTCGTAAACGTAAACTTCTTAGGCATTCTCGGTAAATTCATTTCGGTGACGTATCGAAGACGAACGGTCAAGACTCGATTGGACCACGTGACCCGAAACGCATAGACCGCGCGGAATAATGAGGCTTAGGAACTAGGCAAGGGGAGTTGCAGTTATCTTCAACCAGGAGAATGGCTTTTTCTTGTAACTTAAGAATCACTGGGGATGAATGTTCCGGTAAACTTAAGCGGATCGTGGCATGGGTTATTGAAACGCATACTTAGAAAACTGGTAGAAACGCGGCAGTTTGACCAGCAATTTGCAGGTATAACATTGGATAATTATCTTAACTAAAAGCGTTAACAATACCCTGAAGTCTTGCATGATTAACAAGCACGGTAAAAGGGATTGTATCAGTTTATCAAATCTTGCCTTTAGTTGGTTAAAATGAAAAGTAATCTTCAATTTAAAATGAATAACGATTGTATGATCTACCCTTTTCATTCATTTGTTCCCAACAAGAAACGCCGGCTTTTTGAAATGACTATTAAAGACAATTTTAATGAGCTCTTCATGTGTAAACTAACCCATTTGAAAGCAATGGTCTCAAAATGTAAGAATTCGTCTTTGCACTCTAACCAAA